ATCCCAAGTTCTGTCTCCTTTCATGGAGGTGCAATTAGAGCAAAGTCCAAATGATCACAGGAAGGGAGCTTCAGTCATCTGGGAAAGGAGCATTTGGGGTGGAGGGGCGGGACCAAGGCAGTGCAAATGCCTTGCCTGGTGTTCGAAGACTCCAGGGCACACAGTCTTCCATCTGCCTTTGAGTATATGATCTAGCTCAAATCTCCTAACTGCTGTGTTTTCTGTATGGAGTTTGTAGGAGAGTGTTGCATGAAGACAGAGCAAGGCCAGAGTCAAGGGTCAGTGGCTGCTCTTAGGTAGGGCTGACCCCAAAGGAAATATGTCTAAAGAGGTCAGACAAGACCCCTGGGTGCCCGAGATATGGTGGTAGCTGGGAATGTGGCCTATCTTCCAAAGAAGGCTACACTGAAGGGGAGGAGCCTGGGCCCAGATCTTGGCTATGTCTGGGGCCCTTCACCCCCCACTACGGAGATCACTGGATCCTAGACTACTGGAGACAAGAAGGGTCAAAGGCCTGAATGGCCAACTGTTCTCTAAGGAGGCTTTAGAGGCTCTCCTCACCCTGTCACCTCCCTCCCAGGGTGATTATAGGGAGGGAGGTCACAAAAAGACCCTCAGCAACTATGCTCTGGCAGAATAATGGGCCATTCACATTGAAGGACCCCAGTCCCACACCTGGCTCTCTAGGACAGACCCCAACTGCCTCATTGTCCTAAATGCCACTGTGCCTTAGAGCCGGGTGTCAGCCATGGGAAGTCTGACACCCCAGCTGGGCATTCCTGGCCCTTCCCCCACCTCTCCAATCACTCAGAGCTGGCTTGGTGTGGGCGTACCATTCATTCCTCACTCCTCACTCAGAAGTCCTCACAGCTATGGGAAAATAGGAGGGAATAATTAGGGGCACCATTAGCGTCTCGAGGCCCATCTGAGAGGGATTAAGGGATTAAAGGCCTTCCAACAGGTCTCTCCTTGAAGATTGTTGCAGGGTTTATTTTCAAGACTTCTCTCCTTTTCTTTTTCCTGGGGTTGGGGGTGACTGAAACTCTTGGTGGACGCTCCCTTCAAAGCTGCAGGAAAAAAAGAGGCTCTCGTCATGTTCCGTGGATAGAAGAGTTGGGACCAGCAATGTCCTGCACCTCCTCGGGGCACAAGTGGGGAGCAGGGGGCCGCAAAGGCCAGGAGATCCCTCAGGGAAGCACAGATGGGGACCCCCTAGGAGCAGGTGCTCCTTACTCCTCCAAAAGACCCCAAGGGTTCAGCCCTGCCTGTCTGTCAGGCCTGCTCCCAGCTGAGGGCACACAGTCTCTCTGCCTCACTAGTCAAGGCAAACTGAGCCTGGGGGCTCTACCCTTTTCCAGAGAGCTGGAGGCTGGTGGCGATGGAAAGTCTCCTCAGGAAGAGCCTTGATCTGTTTGCCATGAGTCATGGCCACTGCCTTGCAGGACACAGAGCGGCAGCTCAAGCCATTTTAGAATCAAAGATGGCCGGCTCTTAGAAGAGAAGACCACAGTACATTTCTGAGCCTCCCTCCTACACCTCTCTGGCCACGTGGTGGGGGCTTGGTGTCTGTCAGGTACTATACAGAGGTGTGTCACCAAGTCCTGCTACAGGTCTGTCTCACCGTCCTACTGAGAAAGCCTGTGGTTGAAAATCAAACATGTGTCACCCAGGGAAGTGTCAGCAAGCAAAGACTCCAGACTAGACGGCACAGAGACAGATAGCTGCCAAAAAAAGTGGGGTACATTAGGGTACACACCCAAACTCCCCCTAACCAGCGTCCTGACCCCCCTGGTTATGGAAAGGAAGAAAGACCCTGGCATGAGACCATCGTGCATCCACATGCTAGCCTTCCTGGACCCAGTTTCTAGGGGCTTCTGGAAGTACAGCTTGTCCCCTCCATTTCTAAGGAAAGTTCATTGAATGCCTTCTGTACCTCCAACCTGAAACTAGCAAGGCCTGAAGCCTTGGGCAGCCGGGAAGAGAGCAGCTGGTGACACAGGGCTCAGCGCCATGCCGAAGTGCAGGTGATACACTAGCCGTGATCTGATTCAGCATCAGTGAGGCCCATGATTAGTGGTCCTGTTAGCACTGCCAACAAGAAGCCCAGTTATTGGATTGGTGTGAACAGAAAGGCCAAGAGAAGGGATGAATGGCTTATAACCTGGGCCTGACATAGGCAGACATCACCATAGTGCTTGGTGTCTGAGTAGTAGAACTGGGGTCCAGGGGACCCTGCCCCCACTCCTTGACCCTCCATGGTACAGCCTCCTGTGGGGGGGGGGTGTGCTGGGGCAAAGTGAAGCATGAGGAATTGTGGAGAGGAGGGGCCTCAGTCTGCTCCCTTAGAACCGAAACTCAGACAGCAAGCATGGGATGGAGGCCAGTTTGTAAAGCCTGGGTGAAATGAGCTAGAAGGGGATTGGGAACAAGTCCCACAGTGTCCTGAGCACATTCCCTGCTCTAGGGAGACGGAGATGGATGGTGCTGAACAGGGAAGGAGGGGTGCTGGGGCGGGGTTGGGAGGGCTTCTGCTGAGGACTCTGCTGCCAAGAGCAGGGTGGGAAAGCAAAGCTTCGGGGTCCAGAGGACACCTGCGCAACAGCCTGCTTCCCTCAGCCTCACGGGCCCTGCCCAGGAACTAAAAGCAGGCCCAGAGAGCCCTGGCCCTGGGGCTGTGCATCTGTAAGCACCCTGTGGGGATAGGGCCCTGGGTGTGCGTGGGGGGGGGGCAGCATGCTCTGTGCTTTGGTGCTTTTGAGCCTCTTCCAGAGGCAGCTGCTGAGGACCCCAGAGCAGCCTTCATGAGGGTCAGAGATCTGGGCAGAGAACTGGTTTCCAAGGAACTAAGCAAGAGTGGAGAATTCTGTCTGCTTTCTTGGCACCAGGAAATGCTACAGCTCCTACCGCTGATCCCCTGGCCAACTCCCCGGTCTCTGGGGTCTCAAATGCTATCCTGGAAACAGGAGAAGCAGGAAGAACCAGCCTCAGCCCCACTCAAGCCTTCCTGGGAGAGCTGCCTCTCCAGCTCCCCCAGCCTCTGCAGCTTGTCTACTCACTGCAGCAGAAATCGGTCCAGAGCGGCCTTGAATTTCCTGCCTAGCCTCAACTTCTCAAGTACTGAGGTTACAGGTACAGGCCACCACACCTGGCTCACCTGGCTTTCATTTTTTGGAGACAGGGTCTCTCTACATAGCCCTGGTTGTCCTGGAACAATGTAGATCAGGTCAGGCTGGCCCAGAACTCACGAAGACGCACCTGTCTGTCCTCTGAGTGCTGGAATGAATCCCAGTACGCTCACTTTTCACTTTGGGGTTATTTTGATTGATTCTTCCTGAAACTCTATTCTCAAGTCCTGAGGGACCAATGCTGCCGGGACTAAGACTCTCTAAAGAGCCCTTACTCAAGTGACTCACCTAGAGCTTTAAAAAGGCAGACTCTAGTCCTGCATCAGGACTCTTGAGTCTGTGCTGCTCTTTGAGGCCATCCCTCTTGGCTGAACCACTGATTTTGTGGCTCCCCTCTCCCACCTCCAGCAGTATCACTGGAGAAATTTAGCCTCGATTTTGCTAAAAGCGGCCTACTGCTCACTCGTCACAGAAGACCCAACAAGGCACATTGCCCTGTATTTTGCTCTTCTTGGGGGGACACCTTGAGTACTTTGCTCTGTGCTCTGGAAGAGAATTGGCCCCCAGTAGCATCTATCAGACTACCCTGAACCAATGTGAAGTGAGAAAAGGTAGGAGGGCGAGCACTGAACAGCGATGGCTACTGGTTTGAATCCCAGCCACGGTGTCAAAGGTATAGGTTGCCTGCAGAGGCTTGCGTGAGGGGTGGGGGCCACTGCGCACCCACTCTATCTGACCCCAAAGCCGAAACTCCCTCCCGAAGCTGGTGCAGGTCCTCTTGCCGTGAACGGCACAGACAATGGTGTTCTATTCCCGGAGCACGGCCGCCCCCTGCCCGGCCGCCCCTTTCAGGCTGGCCGCCTGGAGCATTTGCATACGGCCCAGGGACGACAGAAGCCCGCTTTGTTGGCTGCGCACGGGGCGCCGGGCTGTGGGCGCAGCGCGCCAGACAAAGTCGTCGGGGGAGGGAGGGCGACCGGGGCAACCGGGCCGCACCTCGGATGCCGCGCCGTGTCTAATTCCTCCAAGGAACGGCCCGCGCCGTGACGCGAATCCCAATGCTCCAGGCCCGTCGCAGGTTCCTCCGGGCCAGGTAACCTCCCTGGCCTTGGACATGGATCCTTGCTGTAGTGCACACACAGTACGCCACTCCGGAATAGTGGGGCTCCTGAGGGGCTTCCTGCAATGCTTCTGGCTATGCTGGCCTCACCTCCCCAACAGCCTGCCTGCTCCTCAGTCTAGTCTCCAGAAGAAGGCAGGAGGTGAGGATCCAACATTGTTCCCAGGACTCAGGCACTGGAGCTGGACAGAGTTCAGAAGCAAGCAAGTGTCCCCTGTCCTTGATCAGAGGGACTGGGCCTGAGAAGCAGAACTCTTATTGTCCTGAGGGATGACATGTCCCTGACCTTGGCATCTGTTGACCCATTCTGAATAGGAGGACCAGTGATGAGGAGGCCTGGGGGCTCCTGGCTGGAGGGACCTGTCTTTCCTGCGCTTTCAGACCTTCACTGGGATCTCCAGTGGACGAAATGGACACCCTTCAGGGCCCACCACATGCCTCTGCATTGAAGGCAAATGGGAAAAGAAAACACACACGGAGAAAAACCAAAAGTGTAGTTTTAAAGAGTTAGGCCCCAGATGGAGTGCGCGGAACAATAGAACCAGAGTGCCAGGGCTGGTGGTGGAGTCTGTGTCATCATGCACAGGGGATTCTGTGGCAGTGACTGGTGACAAGGGCCGTGAGCCTCCTCACCTTGTCTCTCTTCTCAGCGATCTTTTGTCAGGCCATCTAGGGCTAGTGGCCTTTTGTTTACTTGAAGCTGAAGCAGCAACTGCCCTATCTGAAAAAGGACTCACATTATCCCTTCTCCAGGATTGAGAGGACTTCTCCCAGGGCTAGAAGAGCCCATTTATTTCCAGGCCCGAAGAAAAGGCTTGGTTGCAGTTTAGAACAAACCACCAGCAGAGAGGACCAGATTGAAAATGTTTGCAGGAAAGCCTGGGCAGCAAAGGGGGCACCACCCATCCAGAGTTGGGTCCCAATTCTCCCAGCTGCTTTTCCACGGTGACTTAGAGCTTTCTGCTTCAGTCCTGGGAATCTCACCCAGCAATGGGCAGGGTTCTATGGAGGGGAGAAGGTTGAGGGAACAAGAGTAATCCTCTTAATTAATAATGCTCCCTGGAGAGTATCTCCACCTGAACCCAGAGAGCCCAGGTGAACCCTGGGCAACTCTGCTGTTCCCCTTTGGCTTCCTGGCTCTGAAGGACCTTAGTTTGGAGGTAGATGTGTCTGTGGTGGTGCTCAACTTCTGCCAGAAGCCCACTAGCAGGTCAAGTGAGAGAAGGAAGAGGGGTCCCAGTCCCTCCCGATGGGGGGATGAAGTCCCTGTGAGGGGGTGAGATATGGAATTTCTGACATCATCTGACTCGCAGAAGAGGTGGAGCTCAGGGAAGGCTGTGGCAGCTAGGAAGGTTAGGTTGCAAGGACCTAAGCCAGACCTGGGGCTGCCGTCTTCTTCTGCTGGTTTTAGAGTGCCCTCTTGTGGTCAAATGGTTTAGGCTACCGGGATTCCAGGGCGCCTTCCTCGTCCACAGCCCAGAGTCTCACCACCTTCCTGAGATCCTGATCCACAGACTCGGGACAGGACTGTGAACTGGCATCAGTTGCCTCTGGCTCTGAGATTTTGTGGAAGGCCACTCCTTTTGATGCCCTTCTCGGGCCTTTTTCTACTCTGTTCAGAAGTGAATCCAGCTGAGGGCCAGGGCAGCAGCAGGTAAGGAAGGACCAGGAAGGATTTGGGGTCACTGTTAGCTGGCTAAGACAGGCACAGAGAGGACAGAACTATCCGAGACATATATCCAGGAGGATGTGGTCCCTTGAATGGAGTTCTGTGGACCTGAGGAGACTTTGTCAACACTAAGATCTTTGATTGCCTCAAGAACTTGGCCTCAGGAGTCAAAGGGAAGAGACAAATGGAAGGTGTCAGAGTCCTTGGTGATGGTGTTGTTTATCATCCAGTTTCTCACCCAGAGCAGGCCCGGTTCAGGCGTCACTGGTCAATGGGGTAGCTGTCACCTAGGGCTGACTTTGGCCTGTTATGACCACAGGAGCAAGCTAATGGGGATCCACCTAGAGGTGGTAAGCCCTTCTGAATCTAGACCTCCCTGTAAAATAGTAGCAAGGGCTGAGAAGGTCCTCTCGTGCCTGGCAGGAGCCATCCTCTCCTCTGAAGACAGTGTCATGCTGGCAGCAGTTAGGCCTGGCTGTCTCTCTCCTCAGCCCGCAGAGACCTCTGGACCTCAGCCTCCTGCTCTCCGGGCACCTGCAAGGCAGGGAGGGGTGAAAGAAAGAGGCAAGTGGCAGCCCAGAGGTAAAGGCAGGCAGCAGAGGAGGCCATATGGGGAGAAGCCCCCATGGTAAGCACCGTGTCTCACCTCCCAGTAAACCTGGTCTTCGAAGCATTGGGCGTCTGGAGGGGAATCCAGGAAGGGCAGCCTCAGCAGGAGCCCTGGTTGCCACAGGGAAGGATATGTAAGGTTCCCCAGTCCCTACCCAAGGGGGAGGTCACCACCTAGGAGCACAGGTTGATGCTTGAGGCAAGGCAGACCCAAGCCTATGCCAAGGGCTGCTGAGTGCCACCTTTCTGAGAAGGTATAGCCCTGCAAGGTGGCTCGCCCCCGAATTACCCACAAAGAAGCCAGCTGGTGGAAGTGAAGGAATCTGCTTGTGTTCGCAGTCCTAGTGTGATTCTATCGTGGAGCATAGCTGCTGATCTTTCTGTGGCTCCCACATGGGAGGGACCCAGAGGATGTGTTACTGCATAAAGTGTGGCCTGGAAAACTAGACTGTGGAGAATGAAGTTTTCAGGATGAGCGTATATATGGGAGGTTAGGGATGTTCCATCACATTTTGTTCATTTTTATTGTTTTTGAGTTTTGTTTTGTTTTGTTTTGTTTTGCGACAGGGTTTATCTGAGTAGCTCTGGCTATCCTGGAACTCACTCTGTAGCCCACCAGGCTGGCCTTGAACTCAGAAATCCACCTACCTCTGCCTCTGCCTCCTAAGTTCTGGGATTTTGTTCTTAAAGCCAGATGTCAGGAGGGACTCTGACCTAAGCGAGTGAACAGACAGCTTCTAAGGAAGGCTTTGTGCTCTGGTCCAGGGGCGCTTAGCCCTCCTTTCTGTCTGCTGCTATCTAGAGGAGCTGCTGATCCCTTCCCAGCAACTGGGGTTGGACTGCCCTCTAGTGGCACAAGGGAGCAGCACAGGAAAGTCAGACCCCAAAACCACGGGCCTTCCTTTCCCCTGGAAGCTACAATCTTTGCAAGCCCAGGCAGGTGTTCTGAGAGGACCGCCCTGTGCGCGGTATCCCTTGCTATTCCTCCTGGGCGCCTGTTCTTGGGCCTTTCACCCACCACCCTGCCCACGAAAGCCACTCACCTCCAAGGCTGCCCCCCACAGAGGCAGACACCAGGGTGACAAACATCCCAAAGAGCTGATAAACTGCCTGAGAGGTGGCGCTGCGCTGGCCGGCGGCTATGAGTGGAAATACATTCTGCAGGCTGAAAGGAGACCAGTAGGGAATGATGGGCATAGAACAGGCAGCCAGGGCTGGTCACTGCAGCATTCAGGTGCAGGCAGCCAGAGGGTGTCCAGGGATCCCCACTGTCTCACCAAGGCCTTTGCTCAGCCAGGCCTCACTTCCAACCTTCTTTCCTAAACTAGCCAACCCTACGTAGCTTCCAGAACCCAGTCCAAAGTCCCTTTTGCCTGCCTACTCCAAGCTCACAGTGTTAACTGTAGATCCCAGGGCTCATTATCTCTTACTGGCCCTGAAGGAATGCTCAATGCTCTCGAAATTGTTTTCTCTGTGACCATCCACTTCACTGACCAGGAGGCCAGGCCTGGGCAGGTCCTCAGCTCTCACCATATGGTGGGAGAATGGCCAAATGGGTACATGAGAACAGATGGGGATTTTTTTCCCTTGGTTCTCAGAGGAGAAGGGAGGTTAGCGTAGACTCACCCATCTCCATAAGCCTCGTGGGTGGCCAGCCAAGTCACCAGGACTCCCAGGAGGGCCCCCAGCAGCCCTGGCATCCCATGGAGGTTGTGGACACCACACGTGTCTTGTATTTTGAATCTGAATTCAAGGACAGGCTGGAGGACAAGTTGAGTAATCAGCCGTGGGCACTCCACCTACCCCTACCCAGAACCTGGTGGGGGAGGTAGCAGAAGGGTTGGGGATCCCACGTCCCTGGTGCAGGCTCCTTCCCTCAAATGTTTCTTCTCCCCAGGTCCTGAGAAGCAACCATACCGTAAAGAACTTGTACCCCAAAGTGGAGACAGTCCCAGCCAGGAAGCCAGCTGCCACAGCCCCAAAGGGGGTCAGCATCATTTCGCTTGAGGTCCCCACCACGACCCCTCCAGCCAGTGCTGCATTTTGGATGTGGACCTAAGGGTACAAAAAAAGGGCAAAGTATCTTTTCAGATCATCACCCATTCCAGTGGCTTCCACTGCTTCTAAAGCCCCTCTGTCATCTGGCCACTGACTCTCCAGCTCTCGTGCCCCTGCTTAGAGATCTTAGACATCTCTTCCCTTTGCCAGGCTGGCCGTCTACTTCCCCATACCATGTCCAGTCGGCCGTGCCCACTGACAAGCGCTGACAAGGCAAACGTGCTGAGGGTGCTTGCGGTGAGCGAGTAGTACGTGTTCAGTGCTGTCCGATGCTGCCCATCCCCGAGCGCTGTGGGCGCAGAGTTGAAGCTGGGCCAGAAAATCCACAGGAAGATGGTCCCTAAACAGTGGGTAGCCACAGTGAGCATCTAGTAGTAAGTGACCCTCGTCACCAGGGGGCGCTGCACTGCAGATAAATTATTACGCAGCCTGTTTCCTCGCTGGTTCCTGCAATTGTCAGGAAGAAACCATCTTTCTATGATGAGAGTTGAGAGAATGATGCCTATAAATGCTTATCTCATGGGCCACTAGGTCTGACTGTTTAGCAGGGGTCTGCGCAAGGACATCACTTTACTGTATCCATGCTGTACTCCAGCTTCCATCCCCAACACACACACGCTGATTTTTTTGAGACAGGATTTCTCTGTGTAGCCCTGACTGTCCTGAAATTCCCACTGTAGCCGGGCTGGCTTTGAACTCAGAGATCCACCTGGAGTCAAAGATGTGCACCACCACCGCCCAGCCCTGCTCTAAGCCTTCAGACTAAGCTCAGAGAGAGAAGGGGAAGCAGGAGTCTGTCTGTAACCTTCACTTTGGCTCAAAATCCTAATACTGCCTCAAGACGAGGACCTTTCAGCATCCTGTGCCCAGTTCTCAGGCTTCAGGGTAGAGAAGGCACAGAAGCCTGGCCCCTCCCTACGCTTCCCCAACCACAAGACCTCATATGTGAAGGGCTGCTAAGGGCAAGGCCCACAGCTCACAGCGAGTCTAAAGTTGGCGAGAAAACCAAGCCAGCCTTGTTTATGCAAGAGCAGGCCCTGAGGACCATTTTCAACACTCCACAGGAAACTCAGGCTCTGGGTGGCAAGCTGTGAGGGCAGAGAGGGCAGTGTGCCATCTGAGGAGGGAAGATGGAGAAAACAGGCCCTACTGTTCCCGGGGTGATCCAGGGCTCCTACCTCCCTGCCTGACAGTGCGGGGCTTTGTGGGCTGTGGGGAGGAGTCCTTATGCTGAGGAGGGAGCTCAAGCACAGGTGATCAGACCTGGCAGGGCATAGAAGGAAAAGGACTGAACGGTGCATGCTGGGTCTGGCTTCACACATGTGGGCTGCAGAGCCCAGGAAGGTTTCAAGAAGGTCTGAGGTAGATTTGAAAGGCCCCGGCGCCTGGTGTGGGCTTCTGTGTACCCCAGCATTGAGTTGTAAGTTAGGGGCGATGATAGGCATGGATTTCAGGGCCCTCCAAAAGCAAGTAGGAAGGACTCAAAGGCCGTCTGACAGTGCCAAGAAGTCTTCCTCGCGCCGCTTCACCTCAGCAGGTCTCACCAATCATGGCAAAGAGGTCAGAATGGTAGACAGAGCTCTGGCGGTGCCTGCTCTTCTCCAGCTGGGATCTGTAGAGGACCCGTGAGAGGAACAGCCCGAAGTAGGCCCCAAACGTGTGAATGGTCATGGACCCTCCAGCGTCTCTCACCTGGGAATGACAGAGGTCGTGAGGCAGCCCCTGCCCCACCCACTCTTCCTTTCAGGGCTGGACCAACACCTGGGTGGCACCTACTCCTGACAGACTTACCCCCAGGAGGCTGAGCAGTATAAACTCGTTGACACTAAACAGCACTGTCTCCAATAGGGCCATTAGCAGCAGCTGGGCTGGCCCTGTCTTGCCCAGAACAGCTCCGAAAGAGATGAGCACGGCGCCCGCACAGAAGTCAGCGTTGATCAAACTGCAGTTACACAGGAAGAGGAGGAAGGACAGGAAAGCGGTTCCAGGCCCCATCAGGCAGAGGGGCATGGTGCGGCACGGTAAGAAGGACAGCACCAGAGCACCTCTCCTTGGGTCTCAGAGGGGTGCCACCCACCCTTGGAGAGGAGGGAGGAGGCTAAGCCCACTCTAGGGTGAAGAAGCAGGAAGTAGGAGGTGCCATTTTTCGCTGGCTGCCAGTCCTCTGGGAGCTGGGGTGACAAAGGCCTAACGGAGGGGTGTGTGACTGTAGGTCACACAGGTCAGACAATGAGAACCCTCTGGGGAGCAGGGTCTTTGAGGGGGCCATGGGCTTACTGTTGCCCACCTCTCCACACTAACGTGGATGTGGCCGCCATGGAAGGAGTGAAGGAAGCCTTGGACCAGCGTGGCCCACTGCAGGGTGAAGGCGGCCACGAGGAAGGTAAAACCCACGCTGCTGAAGCCATAGCGCTGCAGGAAGACCATGAGAAAGCCGAAGCCTACGAAGACCATGGCGTGCACATCCTGGAAGCCTGCGGGTGTACGGGGGAGGGGCAGGAGGGAGGGAGAGGCGGAGTCACGAGGCCCGCTCCAGTCACACCCACCACCCACACAGACCCAGCCAGTGTCTGGCGCCTCTAGTCAGGACTGCCTTGAAGCAGCACCACACCTGTAAAATCCCCCGCGTCCAGCCTGGAGCAGCAGGGCGAGGCCACCCTTGCCAGCCGTGCTCCAGGGAGGGGCCAGACCTCCTGCTACAGCATTGGCTCTCCTTCCCACTGACCCATTTGCGCTGCTGCAGCCCTGTCTCCTCCACACACACTTTCCTTCTCTCCCTGTGTGTAGTGTGTACATGTTCTCATGTATTCATGTATATGTGTGCACATGTGTGCATGTGTGTATAGAGATTCATGTTTCCCTCCCTTGTGCTCTGCCTTGCACTGAGCTAGGATCCTTCAGTGAGCCTGGATCTCACCAACACGACAGAGTGGGCGGCCAGCAAGCCCTGGGGTCTGTGCCTCTCTGACCTTAGTGCTGCTCACCTGATTCTTACTTGTGTGCTGAGGATTTGAACTCGGGCCCTAAAGCTCCTGCAGCAAACGCTTTGCCTACTGAGCCATCTCCCGAGTCACAAGGAAGCCCTTCTTGATGTCTAACTTCCATCTCTCATCTTTCCAAGTCTATACCTCCCTATTTTGAGAATAGAATAAAAATAGCTTAGGAAATGACTTAGAATTATTAACAGGGACTAAGCCCACCCCCAGAGGAATTGGAGGGAGAGGGTAGACTGCTGTGGTGTGTGTGCGGACAGCTCACTGCAGTGACAGAGCCTGGGCCTGTGTCATACCGGAGTCCTCAGGTGTGAGGCCTAACTTTCTGTTTGTTTCCTTCTCTATGTTGAATTTTTTATGTCACACATCAGACTTGCTCTGTTGAGACAGGGTCACGCTGAGTAGTCTAGCTGACCTCAGACTCTGGACCTCCTGCCTCAGCTGCCCAAGAGCTGGGCTCACAGGGAGGGACCACACATGACCAGTGTTCTTGAACTGTTGAGCATATGGTGGGACTTCTGGACAGAAAGGCTTAGGCCTTTTCTCTTTGCTTTCTTCATAATACAGAGTAATACTGAAAATAAGATTTATACAAATGAGTTGTTGCGTAATTAGCTATATAGAACCAGCATTGAGGGAGCTGGGAGGCGAATAGCAGGCAAAAGCATTAGCCACACAAGCAAGGCTGATGGTCCCAGAACCACGTAAAAGGCTGGGTATAGTAGGTACAGCTGTAATCCCGGCGCGCCCACAGTGAGATGGGAGGGGGGAGAATCACCTAGAAGTTCAAGTCCAGCTGGCCTGCAACAGCAGCACAGCCACAGAAATGAGATTCTTCTTCAAACAAGGCGAGTGGATGTCCACTTGAGAGGCATCGAAGGAGGATTGCCCCAAGTTCAAGGCCAGCCTAGGGAGTAAGAGCCCCTCTCAAAAAATTATGAGAGGCCAGGTGTGGTGGCGCACACCCTTTATCCCAGCACCTGGGTGGCAGAGGCCAACTGATCTTTCTTTCTGAGTTCAAGTTCAGTCTGGTCTAATGAGTTAGTTTCAGGACAGCCATGGCTACATAAGACTGTCTCAAAGAAACAAACAAACATGAACAAGCAGAAACAAAGCCCACCAGCAGAAAGCCTGTGGGAGTTTCCTTTCTGCAAACACCTGGGGACAAGGAACATCACCCTAAGTCCTCCCTCCTTTCACACTCCACACGAGAAATTGCTCTAAGGCTGAGAAGATGTCTGTTTCTCACTTGCAAGCAATAGATGTGCTGAGCATCTGTGGATGGGGCCCAGAGTACAGTTCCCACCAAGAAGTCAGTTCCTGCTCTCCAGGGTGGGGTCAGACTGGAGAATCAGTCTGCTGGTGAGAACACAGACTCTCAGATTGACCGTTTTCCTTGGCCGCGTGGGAGCTGGCGCTCTGCTGATGTCGTGCATCTACGCTCTCACACAATCCTCACTTCAGATGCTGCGCTTCGTTTTCCTGCTTGTCTTTCCTTATGTAAGCTCACTGTGCAAACGGGGAACCCCAAACGCTCAGGAATCAGAAAGCTTTCAAGCTTTAGGGTGATGCCACACTCACCCAGGGTCTCATGCAATGCGCTTTACCTGCGATGCAGGCTTACTAAACACATTGCATGCAATCACCTTCAGGCTATTTGTGTAGGGTATATGTGGGAAGGCTGTGGGTTGCTTGTCTAGGCTTGAGTGCCACCCTCAAGGTATTTCATTATGCATACATAAACACTCCCCAAACCAAAACACTTCTGACTCCAAGGATTTTCATAAAGATATTCAACTTGTGTACAATTTTATTACGGATGACCTTGGATTTCTCGTAGGAAGAAGCAGGTTCTCAAGCCCTGTGCTCTGTGTTGTTTGGTCTCAAGAGGCACAGCACGCTGAATGCTGCTACTGAACTTTGGGATGCAAGCAGGAGCCTCGAGAGAAGCTACAGCTGTCTGCACGTGTGAGCTGAAACAGATACTAGCAATGCCTTGCTCGTTCCTGCAACCCTCCTAAAGCACCACTCCTCAGGGTGACCCAGATCACACCCACAAGAGAAAGGAGAGGCACACTTAGAACTCAGGAGCCCCCAGCCTTTTTTTTCCCCCAAGACAGGGTCTTACTATGTAGCGCTGACTGTCCTGGAATTCACTATGTAGACCAGGCTGGGCCTCAAACTTACAGAGATCTGCCTGCCACTGCCTCCCGAGTGCTGGGATTGAAGGTGTGTGCTACCACACTTGGGCAAGCTTACAATCTTTCAGACTTCTCTGCCTTTTGCCTTGCTCAAACATCCAAGAGGAACTCTTTTTGTTCTTGTCCAAGGACAATAAGAAACCAAGGGGGCTGGGTGGCATGTTTCAAAGCCCATTCATGCAGTAATTTCTCCCAACTGCTCTGAGCTTGTTTTAAATGCTACTGTTTGCACTGAAAACTCAATCCCAGCATGGTGGCACACACTTGTAATTCTGCCCTGCAAGAGGTAGAGGCAGGAAGATAAGGAGGTCAAGGTCAGACTTGACTACATAATGAGTTTGAGGCCAGCCTGAGCTACGTGACACCTGTCACAAAACAAAACAAAACAAAACAAAACAAAACAAAACAAAACAAAACAAACAGGAAACAAATAAAACCCCAAATCATCCGGGCTACCACTGCCAGGCCTTCCTCCCAGGGCAAGATTAGGGCAAGGCTACAGTTAGGGCTGCTGTTTCAGTATCCGGTGCAGCTGACCTCATGACCTGAGGTCTCTCTAAGCCTCAGGTGCTTTCTCTATAAGAGGCAGATATGAGGCGGAGGGAGGGGAGTGGGAACTGCCATCTCCGAGCCTCTTCCACCCCAGCTTCCAGAAAAGAGGCCAAATCCTCCCAGAGCAGGTCAGAGTCCCAATCTCCATCTCCCCTAAGATGGCTCTGATTCTAAGACAAGTGCCCACTGTGAGCCAGCCCTGCCCCCATCTGGAGGACGACCTCCTTGGTTTTCCAGAACCTTCTCTCAAGGTGCTGCTCTGTTGCCCTTCCCCCTTCTACTCTGAACCACTTGCTTTGTAGAATAAGACGCTTGTAGGCAGGGCGCAGCGGTTCACACCCGTATTCCCCAGTCCTTGGGAAACTGAGGCAGGAAGACGGTAAGTCTAGGACTAGCCTGGGCTACTTTGCTAGCCCCTACCTAAAAGATAAGGTGAGGCAGGTGACGTGAGTGTGGCAGGCACATCTCGATGGGGAGGGAATCAAGAGCCGAGTCCCAGTGCCACTCTTTTGGTAATTCACCATGTGACCTTGGGTAGGTGAGTGACCTTCCTGGTTCTCTGCCCACATCTGATCTAGAGAGGTAGACCATAGAATCTGAGGGCCCATCCTGTCCTGTCTGCAGGGGACATCTGCCATCTACAGATGGCCTCCGAGAGTGAGCACGCCCGCCGCCACCCACCACACAACCCTTTCATCTTCTGCCCTCTGGCCTTGACCTTTTTCTCTGGACACAGGGACAGGACTCGGCTCATCAAAGCCCAGGCTTTAGGGACCTCACATCTCCCTCCTGCCTAGCTTTCCCCAAACAACAGGGTCAAAGTCCACAGAAATTGACACCAGGGCAGACAGGCACTCACTCTGTCTTGATCCTCTTGCTGCCCTTTTGGTGTGGAGAGTCCAGCACTACTGCGGTGGGAGGAGGGGACTCGTGGAGGGATTTGGAACAAACAGGTGGGTTTGGAGGCCCCAAGTGAAGCTGTTCCTGGCCAGCTTAGACAGGGAACCAAAGCTCACCTCACTTCTCTGACCCATTTCCTCCCAGCTCCCAGCCTCTATGGACAGTCAGTTTTAGGGCTTTGGTTTGAATACCAGCTTCCGTGGCCTGGTTGCTGATTCCCTAACACAGTTGGGAATGAACTGTGGAGAAGAGAGTGCTGTGGGTGGTTAGGGGTCTGGTGTTTCCTGCTACAGTCCCAAACCTCCCTCAATCCTCTATGACCTCAGAGCTAAGGCCAGGACAGAGTGAGGTGGGGACAGCCTGCTGTCAGCTCAGTTGCAGAAAGTGGGTGGTAAAAGCCTCATTGTTTTATTGGGGAAGGGCTCTCATACCCCAGACCTTATCTGAATGTCCTTCAAACTGAGACATTTTTCTTTTTCATTTCTTGTTTTGTTTTGTTTTGTTTTACCAGGCAGTGTTTCTCTGTTTAGCCCGAGCCATCCTAGCCACTCTGTAGACTAGGCTAGCCCTGAACTCAGAGTTCCACCTGCCTCTACCTCCCAAGTACTGGAATTAAAAGCATGCACGGACCCACCTGGGGTTCCTTTTTGTTTTGTTGAGACAGGATTTTGTGCAGCCCAGACTGGTCTCAAACTCACTGTATAGCCAAGGCTAACCCTGAACTCCAGATTTTCCTGCCTCTACACCTGAGTGCTGAGATTACAGGCAGGAGCCACTGCACCCAGCTTCTTCCTGTTGCCTGGATAGGGAACTGGAATTAAATAAGGTTGACTGGGGCCCTAGTGAGAGGGTAGTATGTTTGGTTCCAGATACCCAGCACCTCAGTTACAAGCTTGAGGGAGATGCCCTGTCTCCATTTGGGAGTTAACTCCCCATTCGGAACCTTGTTAGGAGGCCAATGGCCATTGGTCGAGGAGTTTATGGTGTCCAAACCCCGTTCTCACTGTTGGACATCACAGCCACCTTAGCCTGTAGGATGATACAATACCTGCCAAGGATCCCCCAACCCTCCTCATGCAGGCCTTGAACCTGTGAGCCTGTCCAGTGTTGTCTCACTCTCTGACCCTCACATGTCGAGCTTTTCACAGCTCTCTCTCTGTTATCCTCTCTAGCACCCTACCTGTCAATCTCAGCAGGCTTCTCTTTCCTGTGGTCAAGCTGGACTCCTAGACAAAGTCGAATTAGCTCCAATGAAAGGTGAGACAAGACATTGACTAACACGGAGAATATTTACAATGGGATTGAAACTACAGCTCCCCTTACTATGTGACGCTGAGCCTTACCCTTCCTCAGACTGAGACAGAGTGCGTGCCATCCCAGCAGTGCCTGGAACAAGACGGACACTAGAGAAAGGGGCTATTTTAAAGCCCTGGTTGTCACCTCGGTGGAAGGAGTACCCGCTCATTCAAGCGCCCTTCCCAGGACTTAAAGTCTCTGTTTCCCACACCCTCACCCTCACTCACTTGGGTAGCGAAAGTAAAACTTGTTGTCCACGTTACTGTGGTTGCCCCAGTGCCACAGGGCAGCGTCGGTTTCGTGGTTGTAGCGGACAAAGACCGCAAAGAGGAGGGCGGTGGCGCCCTGGAAGAGCAGGCATAGCAAAGGCAGGACCAGGCGCCGGTGGCAAGGAGTGCGGGCCATGGGCGCAGTTGTTCTGTCCCAAGCTCCGGCACTGCTGTGCCTGCCAAACCGACTCCTGCAGCTGCAAAAGGGAGGCCCCGCCCCGCGGAGGCCGTGTTGCTCTTAGGGGAGCCCCACCCCTCAGCTCGAGGCTGACAAGGACTCACCGTGCAGGTCAGATCCTGTTTCCCAAGGTCCTACTGGGTGATGTGTGAGCTTCCCACAACTGTGCCCCAGCTGCCAGAAGGGTGGTGGGAGGAGTAAGGGGTCTCCTCAAACCTGGCGTTAGAGAGTGGCACCCAAGATATTTAAGTGGCATCCCTTAAAGGTCCTACCAGGTCCCTCCAAAGTTAGGACGAAAGATTGAAAAAGTAAGGGCTATCTGACTCCCCCATCTGGAGAATGGCGGTCAGACAGCTCTCTGGGCTTGGAGGACTAACAAGCCACATGAGTCCCAGCAGGGGCACCCCTGCTGTCCCCCTCCAATCTGAATTCCCTGGGAGATGGAAGTCTGGGACAGGGCCCCTTCCTACAGAGCTGTCCCCTGGGGTCCTGGCTAACATTCAGACTCTTCTGAGAACTTTCTTTGCCTGGCTGGGCAGCTAAATTGATGGCCCTTCTCAGAAGCCGCTGCCTCTACCCTGAGTGCTGAGCTGAGATTGTGGCTCCAAAAAGAGGGGCTGCAGAGCCACAGAGTAAAGGAGGGGGCTGCTAGTCCTTGGGTGCTGGGTCCCTGAGGCACTCCAGCAGACAGAGACACTGGCACTGTGAGTGCGGACACCTGCTGTCCACAGGGGCCTTGTCCTTTCTTAGAAATGGGCAGAGGTGGCAGAAGGGCGGTTTGCTGACCCTTGGCTCCTCCACTGCTTCCTTGTCCAGTTCCTCTACTGTTGAGCCTCAACTCTGGAGAACACTGGATTCTAGGTGTCCAGTTCCTCTACTGTCCTCCATCCGACCCTTGTGTGAACTCTGGAGAACACTGGATTCTAGGTGTCCAGTTCCTCTACTGTCCTATCAGGGATTTGAGCCTCCATCCTACCCTTGTGTGGACTCTGGAGAACACTGGATTCTAGGTGTCCAGTTTCTTGTCAAGGATCCAGCTGGTACATGAAAGGTCAGAGGTCAGCTCTGGTGGCACGGCTCTCATCTGGAACATGTGGTCTCCATTCAGAGACTTTCCATCACTCCCAGTCAGCAGATAGGTTGTTTTCGAGTCACTTGGGGAACCAGAGAAGTTATCTGGTAAGCAGCCTTTAGATAATGGCTCAGCCTCTAAGGGACACCCCCCCCAGGTCACCTTCTATCCCCTGACTCCTGCTTGGGTTGTTCCAGCAGGCCTATACAGGCCCTGGAAGGGGTCAACCTTCCAAGCTCCCAGTCCTGGAGCTATAAGCAGAGGCTCTGGTACAGGGATATAACAGGATGGGTGCTGGAGGCCCCTGCCCAGCAGGTGTTAGTGCTTCAGTTACTAAATCGGGGAGGGCTTTAGAAGTCCCTTGGAAGGGCAGGAGAGCTGGGCCAGGATATGGTCAGCACATGAGACTTGTGACGTGTGACCTGGGTGTATTAACAATGTGTGACAGATACCAGTTGTCATCCTTTCTAGCCCAATAGAGCGAGACCCTGAAGGCCTTCCCTAAGACTCCCCTGCCAGTCTGCTACCTAGGAAGATTCTTCAACCCACCACCCAGCAGGCATCAGGAGAGACCCAGTCCTGGCTCTCGCCCTTGGTCCTCGCTCCTACCACCCTGTGAAGTGATGGACTTCAGCCCTCACGTCTTTCTCAGCCACAGGCCTCTGAGGTGCAGATGAAATCACCAGCCCGTTCTGTCTAGTCTTGAGGTTTGCCTAATCTCTGACTTTTCATCTCTGGCTTCCAGCCATGACCAGCCAAGCATTTAAAGGGCCAAGGGGAACTGATGTCTCCTGCCTGTCCTGACCGGGCCTAGGCAGGTTGTCCCTGGGGAATCAAGAGTCTGAGGTCACTGAGTAACTCAGTGTTGATCCAGTAAGCTCTCCCGCAAGGGCCTTCCTTCCTCTCCCTGCTACCTTGGTTCAGGGTCCTAGAGCTGCTGTCCCCATTAACCTCATTGGCCATCTCCAGTGTACTTAGGGGACAAGAAAGAAAGATCAGCAAAGCTACAATCACACAGCCTCCCTCCCTCCCTCCCTCCCTCCCGTATATCTGCACTGTATGATCTCAGGCCGTTTACTGACTGCTCCTCAGGCTCCAGTCCCTCGCCTGTGAGAATATTATTTCCTACAAGGAGTTCAAATAGTGTGTGTAGATTGCTGGCGTGTTAGCAAGCATTCAACAGATGTGGTGATTACTTTAATCTGATTGGCTACACAAGGTCAGCAAATGGATCACTAGCGGCAACACTGTGAAGCCCAAGGAAAAAGCATGTGCAGGCGACTCTGTCCCCGTGTGGGTCTAGGCTAGGCATTTTCTGAAAACATACTCCTTGCTTCCACTTTTTTTTTTTTTTGAGGTCTCATGCAGCTCATACTGACTTTGAACTTGCTGTTTAGTGGAGGGAGACCTTAAATTTAGGATCTGCTTGCCTCCACTTCCTCAGGACTAGGATTATAGGCACATGACATCGCTCCTGGGTTATTTTTTGTTTGTTTTTGAGTCTTACTAGGTAGCTCAAGAAGGCCTCAAACTAGAGGCAATCTTCTGTCTCCCAAGTGCTGGGTTGTTAGACACACAGTTCTTAAGCAGATTTAGGCAAAGGAAGAACTTCCCTTCATTCCACAAACACATATTGAGAGCCTGCTGTGTCGTCACTGTATTAGACCTTGGGGATACTGGCAGCGCGAGGCCCATCAAGCGTGGTGAGCAGACACACTATGCTGTAAAGTGCTGCGACAGCCCTTCCTAACCTGGCACTCTGGTCCAAGGAAGCGATGCCTGTGCTTGAGATCTGGGAGAAGGGGGTTCCTTTTCTACCCTAGCCGTCTCCTGTGAGAACAGCAAAAAGGCTATGCCAGGAAGCTCATCTCTTCTTTGTGGATGAACCCCAGACTTCAGTCTCGCCCAAACAAGCAGCCACTATGGCACTGTCCAAACAATACCGTCACACATACATATTATATATTAATCCAATGTGGGGCAAATATTACACAGTCATTCCTCTCTAGAGGGCTGCCATGTTATCCTCTGTTAAAACTTGTTTAGGGGCTTTCGGTGACCTTAAATTCTTAATTCTCCTACTCAAAGCCAGGATAAAAGGCAGGCGCCTCACACTGCATTTGAGGTGGCGTTTTCACGAACATCGGGGTCCTCTGGAATGAGAACGAGCAAGTACAGAAATGTTTCTTCCATATGGTCTGGGACAGGAGCCTTGTAAAACTTATCAGTCCCTACTGAAGGCCTGGCCAGGGCTGTGGAGTCAGGAAGAAGGTGAGGTCTGAGCAGCTGGTGGCCACCAAAGGGGTCAGACTAGCCTGTGAACCGACAGGGCCACAGGTTGCCTACTCTGAGACTTCCCCTCTGGCAGCCTGGCCCTCACAGAGGGCGCCAAGATGCAAGGGCTTGTGAGATCTGTTTCTCAGTTCCTATTGTTTGAGACAGCCTGGCAGTTGCTGGGGAAGTGAGTCCCAGGTGCAGGTGGGGAGTGGTGGGACAGCAGCTTCCATTCCACCCAGAGGGGGCGGCTGCCTTGGGAGTGCATATGGGTCCACCTTATATAGCCTCTGTCTAATTTTCTCTACAAGGTCTAGCCACCTGGAGGTCTCCCAGGAAGAGGAGGGTGCACCTCACGTCCTTGACTCGGGCTGTGCACGTGCTCTCATGTGCATTGGTGTCTTTCCTGCATGTGTGTCTGTGTGAGGTGTCTGTGTGAGGGTGTCAGATCCCCTGGACTCTGAACTGGAGTTACAGACAGTTGTGAATCGTCATGTGGGTGCTGGAAATTGAACCCAGGTCCTCTGGAAGAGCAGCCAGTGTTCTTAACCTCTGAGCCATCTCTCCAGCCCAAGGCTGTGCTCTCTTAATGACTATTTCATCACCTTCTTTTGCAATTTGTTTGTTTCAGTTTGAGACAGAATTTCATTCTGTAGCATAAGTGGAGACTGCTTGATTGTTTCCCGGCCTCCCAGACCCGAATAATCACAATTCTTACATCTTAAATTAGCTCTTTTCTTTTAATCTGTGTATCACCACAAGGCTGTGGCCTACCAGTAAGTTCTGGCACCTTTCTTCTATAGCAGCTACATGGCATCTCCCTGGCCTTCTTTTTTGTTTGTTTGGTTTTTTTGTTTTTGTTTTTGTTTTTGTTTTTCCGAGACAGGGTTTCTCTATAGCTTTGGAGCCTGTCCTAGAACTAGTTCTTGTAAACCAGGCTGGCCTTGAACTCACAGAGATCCACTTGCCTCCCAAATACTGGGATTAAAGGCGTGCGCCACCACTGCCCAGTCCTCCCTGACCTTCTTTCTCCCTGTATTCAGTTTAGTTTTTCTGCCTACTTCTATTCTGCCCTGCCATAGGCTAAAGGTGCTTCTTTATTAACCAATGGTAATAAAACATATTCACAGCATACAGAGGGAAATCCCACATGTAGCCCAGGCCAGTGGCTTCACTGACTATAACTCCAGCTCTGAGATTGGATGCTCTTTTCTGACTGGTATATAGTGTATACATGCATACACATATGCAATATAATAATAATAAATCTCTAATGATCAGGTGTAATTTAAAGACCAACCTAGTCTACACAGTGAGCTTCAGGACAGCCAAGACCACACAGAGATAATTTGTCTCAAAAAATCAAAACAATAGCAAAAAAACCTTGTGCTGTCTCACACTCCTGTCTCAGCCCCCGAGAGCTGGACTTACAGTTCTATACCACCATGCCCAGCTTCACTTTTTTTTTATTTTCTCAGTCAGATAAATTTGTGTGAAACATTATTCTCTCTGTCAAGAACAGGAGAAAAGGGCAGTGATGGCACAGACCTTCAATCCCAGCACTCAAGAGGCAGAGGCAGGCGGATCTCTGTGGGTTCAAGGCCAGCCTGGTCTACAGAACAAGTTCCAGGACAGCCAGGGCTGTTACATGGAGAAACCCTGTCTCAAAAAGC